GAGGAGCTGGTTCTGGAGTGATCAGTCATGTGGGGTGCTGAGACCAAAGGGCGAGGGACCAAAGACAGGGCTATACCCACACATGCTCACACCCAGCCCCCAGCCAGATGACAGCGTAGCCTGCGTTCTGCCTGGGTGGCATCAACAAAGCATGATAGGTCGTGACTTGATCCCTTCATCGCCCTCCAGCCTCCCCAGCTGTGTGGCACGCTGCTGCTCAGACACCGCCCCCAGATGCACACACACACTTTGAAACCACTCACAAACGTGTTCTGGAAGTCGTCAGAGGTGTGGGCTGCACAAGACGGTAATGTGCTAAATGCTAGTGCCTGTGGGTGACCCACACCCACAGAGCTCAGGCCCCACTCCAGGCAACAGTACAGAGGCTGTGAGGGCTGCCACTCAGATCTTTGGGGCCCTGGCCCTAAGTGGAAGTGTGGTGAGGCCTCTGGAGGGGCCACCGGGGCAGGAGTCCTGGGACCTTCCCAAGGCCTAGCCCGAGTCCCAAGGGAAAACAGCTCTGAGACCTGACCTGCAGCCCAAGTTCGAACACTGACTGCCACCTAGCGGTGCCCTGGGGAAGGGGTGGAGGATCAGAAGGCAACCCAGCAGTCTGCCAAGTAAAATGGTAGGTGCCTGGTCTCTCAGCTAGACCTGTCGCTCGGGGAAAACGTCAGGCAGAGGGGCAGTGTGGTGAGGAGGCAGGGGAAGTCTCTCAGTGGGGTGCAGCACACTCAGCTCCCCTAGTTCACCTCCAGGAACCAGACTGCTTTGCAGACTGAGGTGCTGAGAGGCCAGCCGAGGCGGGACTCCCACATCGGTCCGGCCACATGCGGGCAGGCCAGGCAATGGGGTGGACACCGGGCATGCATGCTTCTCCTGTCCAAGTGCAAATTGCTAAAAGGAGGCAATCAATCATCTCCAGAGCTGGGTGGGGGAGGGAGGCCGGCAGGGTGGGATGACTTGCTCCCAGGCCTCAGTCCAGCTTGAACTTGGCCTCTGGCTCCTTCAGCAGGTACAGGCTGTCCTCCTCCAGGAAGCTGGGGGCGAGGGGGAGCCCGCTGAGGCCCACTCCTGCGAAAGCCCGCAGCGCCCCCCCCCCATGATGTGCCCAGGCAGGGCAAGGGGTGGGCAGGGGGGCCTACCTGAAAAAGAGCACGTGGACAGGGACGGTACTGATGTGCCACATGGCATGCGCATCCAGGACCCAGAGGAGCGGCGGGAAGTCCAGCAGCTCAAGCAGGGACAGTCCCTGCAACAGCAGGACCACCGCCACGCACTTGTGCACATGTGGCAGCCGCCGGCGGTTCCACAGGCACCAGGCCAGCCACCACACTGTGTTCACCACACCTGGGGGCCGCGGGGGGCAGTCTCACTGCTGGGGCCGCCTCCTCACCTCACAGTGGAGAGCGTGCTGTGAGCTTTGACCCCGCTTTCCCACGAGCCTTTGAAAAAAGCTCTCTCACCTCTGTCCCCCTGCCCACACCCCAAGGGTCTCCAGAACTTTCTTCTCAGGGAATGACACCACCACCCTCTCCCCAGCTCCAGGGCCCAGCCCGCCTCACCGATCGCCACGTTGGCAGCTAGGTTGTAGCCATAGTCGAAGCGGACGAGGCTCAGGTAGGAGATGTGTGCAGTCAGCAGCAGCAGCAGGAGGGCCCTGAAGGTGCTGATGACAGCTGGACGCCGCAGCCCCACAGTCCTGACCCCCAGCCAGAGCTGCTCAGGGGACGCGCCCATCCCCAGGGTGGCAGTCCCTCAAGCAGCTCCTGGCCCCAACATCAGTGAGTGGGCCTGGAAACCCTGGCCCCTCTCGGAGTTCCTCTCCCCCAGAGGACCAAGTGCTGGGGATCCTTGTCTGAGCCAGGGCTCCTTTCAGGACAGCGCGGGTGTGGGGTGTCAGGGAGGGCCGGGAACCCAGTGTCCAGGGCCTGATCCCGCCCACCCGATGTGGCCTCACCTGACGCAGCACAGGTAGATGGAGTGGAGGATGACGGTGGAGGCACAGAAGTAGTCCATTTTCTGCAGATGGGGAGGGCAGAGTGAGGGCTGCAGGGAGGAGCTGGGAAGGACGCACCCACCAAGGATGGGAACAGAGGAGTTCCGAGGCCCAGTGGCATCTATGGGGGCCCTGGGTCTGTGGTCACTAGCTAACAGGCTGGCCCCAGGCTCAGCCCACACCAGGCCTAACCGTGTGCTCTCTCAGCCAAGGAGCAGTCACAGGGCAGCCCGGAGCCTCACACCCTCGCTTCAGGCTCAAGCCAGGTTCCCGCATACTCCATGGTTGTTAGTGCCTTCTGGAGGGTTCTGACTCGCAGTGACCCCAGGCGAGCACACAGGACATGCTCCCTAAGCAGTGGCTAGTATTAGACATCAGGAGTCACCCAGGCCTCTGGGGAGTCTGTGGGGCAGTCCTGGCAGGTGCTCACCTCTGTGAGGTCGGTGTCCCTGGTGTGAAAGACTGTAGACCAGAACCAGGCATTGAGGGAGACCTGAGGGGAGAGGGGCTATGAGCAAAACCTCCTGAGGGCGGGCATGAAGAAGGGTCTCTCAGTCCTGGGACCAGCCTCCCAGAACCCCCCAAGGCAGCTCTGTTTTCCCAGGGCTCCTGGAGCCTCCCAACTCCCTCAAGTCTGGCTTTCCACCACCCTGAGCCCCCAGGGCCACGGGGGCTGCAGCCTCCACAGGTTCCAGCGTGGCCTGGGAACCGGTTCCAGCAGAGCCAAGATCCGGGGTTACTCAACACCTAAGACAACAGCCCCCGGGGGCCTCGCCTCCTCCCCACTCCTCACCTAGCAGCAGATGATGACAGCCCCACCTGGGCCCAAGGGAGCCTGTGACCTCAGCTTCCAGGGGCGGGAATGAGGTGGGTGGGGTGGAGGGGTGCCAGCCAGCGTGGGGTGTGTCCGGGACAGTGAGCTAGCAAGTGAGGTAGCCTTTGAGATCAGGCAGATCCCACTGGGGCCAAGTCTCTGGGGAACAGGGTGTCAAGCCAGCCTCCTCTGGCTGAACTGGCCCAACCCGCTGGACCAGTGACAGCTCCCATGCCCTGGGAGGAGAAGCAGAGGAGCAGGGCAGCAGGGCTGGAGGGCAACGGTGGGCAGGGGTGAGGTTTAAAGCCTTCTGCCTGTAAATGAACTGCATGGGAGGGGGATGGAAACCATCTTGCCAGGGAGCTCCAGGTCTTCTGGGAGGTGGTGCTGCGAGTCAGGGGCTCAAACTGCTGAAAGAAGGTGGGGTTGGGCTGGGGAGGGGCTAGGAGGAAAGGCGGGGAAATCAGTGAGAACCAGGGGAAGACAGAGCTGGGGTGGGACCGGCCTGCCAATCCTAGAGGCCAGGCAGGGGGCAGGGGAGCAGGGTGACAAGCCATTCCCCACCTGGTACTGCAGCAGGAGGGATGGAGGTCAGACAGCAGGCTGAACTCCCTACAGCAGGCCATGGCACTGGTGAGATAGTGGCAGGAGCAGCGGGGTGGAAGCTAGGCAGAGCCCTGCCCTCAAGTCAGTGGGACATTCTGCTTCCAGCCCCAGGAAGTGTCCAGGCTCACAGCAGCCAGGTGCAGCCCATCTGGCCTGGACCCTAGGCTGAGCCTGGCTGTGAATGCTTCTGGCAGCCTGGGCAAAGGCTCAGTCCTCAGACAAGGGCTGCTATCAGCCCTGACGTCAGGCTATTCGTTTGCTTTCGGTCAAGCTGCTTCCTCCTTTTAGGTTCGCGCAGGCCGGCTCCTGCCCTGTGCACCCAGCTCAAGGCTCCTGCTTGTGCAGTCTTTTCCTCTGAGACGGTAATGGGGGCCTGGTGACCTTGGGGACACATCAGGGTCAGGGCAGGGGTGTCCTTGGGAGGACAGTGGCCCTGGAGCATGTGGGAGGCAGTAGAGGAGATGGCAGCAGGGACTGGCAGCCAGCCAGGCCTCCTTGTCACCCACAGCAGGGGGAACTGACAAGAAGGTTGAGCTAAGTGGCAGTAGGAATTGGAAAGTCCGGAGGAAGGAGGTGCACAGGGCCAAGGCTTGGTGCTACTGGACAAGGTGAGGTGGCTCTGCCTATTGTCCACCCCTCACCCCTGCCGGGGGGTGGGGCCTAGAACCTGGCTCTGCACACTCTGGGGAGCATCTCCCAGCAGGGAGCCCCTCTTCTGACTCGTGATCCAGGTTTGGAAGGCAGTGTCTCGAGGAACTTGGGCCCTGGAGCAGACTGTTGTGCACCAGGGAGTCCATCCTGCCTCGCAAGGACCCGGCAGGGGAAGGCGAGGTCTCTCTGAGGCTGTCTTTATGGTCACAGACCACCATGTCCGTCTGTCTCTCTCTTTCTCTCACTCTCGGAGCAGCTGGTGGGCTAGCAGCTGATCGCCATGGCACCACCCGAGGTGCTGGAGCCAAACCACCAGGGCTCCAATGCCAGCTCCCATCTTCTGTGAACCTGGGCAACTTATCTAGCCTTGCTATGGCCATTCCCTCATCTGTGAGATGGAAATGGACCACGGGCTGGTAGAGTCCATGAACAGAAGTGAAATGTGCCGGCGGTGCCGAGGACAGCGGGCAGTATGAGATGCTGTCCCAGCCCACCCTGCTGATCAGCCCAGGACTCCCAACTTTCCAGACCTCAGCTCCAAGAGGCCAAGTCGGCCTCCTCCCCTCCCCACACGTTAGGAGGAGGAGTGCTCCCCACAGAGAGGGCAGAAGGGCCGGCACCTCCACAATGAGCCTGATGCCCTTTCCCAGGCTCTGGATTCGAATTCTGCCTCCACCACTAAATAGCTGTGTGATGCTGGGTGAATTAGCCTCCAACATGTCGCTGCACAGGACCTCGAGGAGGAGGAGGACTGCAGGTGCCTGGCACAAGGGAGCCATCAGATGCAGGGGTGCTGTGAGCACGGGGGCCCTCCCTCCAGCTGCCCACCCCTACTCCCTTCACTCTCAAGGGTCACTGATGGTCAAGGTCAAGCCTTCTTGGTTCCAGAAGGCAGGCCCTGGGCTCTAGGAGATCTCTGTGCCTCCTTCCCTTCCCGAACTCCTGGGCCACCGCGGACTGCTCAGAGCTGGCAAAGCCAGACACAAGCAAGGGGACAGGGATGTGGTGGGAGGAGAAAGCTCAAGACAGATGCTGCTATTCCCAGACTCCTGGGCCAAGCCCCAGGGGAAAGGGGGGGCAGGTCAGGACCCGGCCAATCAGACAAGCCAGGAGGTCCTGGGCCGGCCCAGCAGGCACCAAGAGTGGTGTGTAAACAGGGAGGACAGGGGGCTGGGGCTGAGGCTGGGGGGGCAGGGGCGGGGACAGGAAAGGCTGGGTGGGAGTGAGCAGCAGGCTGCTTCAGTCTGCTGGAAAACACGAAAATTGAGACCAAAATATCCTAGCCGTGAAACTGGTTGGATGCCAAGTGAGCCAGACCTGTCAGGAATTCGACCCCAGTGCTAAGCCCAGTGCTCCGGGCTGTCATTGACACCATGGCAGTGGGGACAAGTGGGTCTTTAAATAGCTTGGTGTCTCAGAAGTGGGGGAGGCAGAATGTTAAATATGACACCTGCTGCCATCCGGGGCCCCTCCCCCAGAGGCCACCAGGTCTCACCCCCTGCCTCAGGCCAGGGCAGCCTTCCCAGCCCACTGCTGAGAGAGCAGGGGGAGAGGCGGATGGGGTGGGAGGAGGAAGGCTTCTGTCACCAAAGGATTCCTTGATTCCTGCCTGTTGGGAAGTCCTTTCTGAAGTCTAACCATCAATGTGCTACAGACACTTGTCTATTTCTTCTCAACATTTCCTCCGTAGAGATGGCACACAATCAGTCCCTAACCATGCTACAGAGACGGCTGGCCTTCCCTGCACCCCCACCTCACCACACACACACACA